CACTAACTCTGTGTGGTCTTGGCTGAGCCACTAACCCCCTGCACACCTTGAGGTCTCAGCTACAGAATATGGGGTGTGATCCCTGCCTGTCCTGCCCCAGTAGGTTGTTGTGAGAATCAGATGCAATTATGTCTGTCCCAGGACTTTGTGGGTGGAAACATGGCCCAGGACAGCGGGCTTACTGTGAGAGGGTGAACTGTTGACAGGGCAGTCCTGAGGAACTACTGGCCTCTGCAGCTTCCTGGCTACTTCCTTCCCAAAAGCCCTTTGTTCTGCCCTTGAGAGGTGAGCTCAGCCTGCCTTAAGTCAGAAGGGACTGGGAGCCCCTTCTACAGGCAGTTCAGGGGCTAGTCCAAGACCTTACCACATGCTTAGAGGGAACCAGTCCATCTCCTCCTTAAGAACAGCACACCACTTAGCTGAAGGTTCCTCTCCAAGTACTCAGGAACCTCTTTCCTGAGAGGCAGCTCAGGGCTGTGAGGCCAGAGAGATCTGGTTTAAATCCCCTCTTCACCTTATCTTTGCTGTATGCTGGGCACTTAACCTTTCTGGGCCTTAGTTTCTATATATGTAAAATGAGGTGATAGCAGCCACCAGTGTGAGGGTCAAGTGAATCAGGTGCCCATACTTGAGCTCTCAGCAACCGTGAGCAGGAGACCCTGCAGGACTATGACCCAAAGTGGGCTCTGCAGCTTAGGGTCCCCATCAGGAAAGGTGGGTATTTGTTTCTCAGAAGAACTAGACGCTGAGAGTCTTGGGGAGTGGGTGGATAGGAGATTTGGGAGGAAGTTCCTTTAACTGGAAGTCAGGGCACCTGGGTTTTAGTTTCAGCTCTGCCACTGACTTGCTTTGGTATGGATATGGGGGCAGGGCACATGTCTCTCTGGGCCTCAGTTTCCTCATCAATCAAATGACAACAAGTAATCTGACCTAGAACTAAGTTTAAAAGTACAGAACAAGACTATTTCAAGGCAGTAGTAGCATTCTGAATAGCCAGGGCTTTCTTTTTCTTTTCTTTTTTTTTTTTTTTTTAAGGCTGAGTCTCATTGGCCCAGGCTGGAGTGCAGAGGCACAGTTACAGCTTATGGCAGCCTCAACCTCCCTGGGCTCAGGTGATCCTCCCACCTCAGCCTCCCCAGTAGCTGGTACTACAGGCACATGGCACCATGCCTGGCTAGTTTTTGAATTTTTTTCTAGAGGTGGGATTTTGCCATGCTGCCCAGGCTGATCTCGAACTTCTGCACTCCAGCCATCCACCTGCCTCAGCCTCTCAAAGTGCTGGGATTACAAGTGTAAGCCACTGCACCTGGCCAGTAGCCAACATTTTCAGCAAGTTCTCATGTCTCCCCAAATTCCAGAGGGATCTAAATAATTAATATGCACATTAGCATGAGTGTGGAAGCTCTTTCAGGAGACTGGTGTACCCTCTTTCTCTAGAAATGCTTTACTCTGTTGCATCACCTCTTCCCCTCTCCTAACAGACCCATACTTTTAGAAGATAATTATCCAGTCTCTCTCTTTTTAAAAATAACTGTTTCTTTTTAAATTATAAAAGTTAAAATCAGAATCACTGTTTTTCCAGTCACTTGAAAATCCCTACTGTTAACATTTTGATCTTTATCCTTTATGTCTTTTTCTGTGAATGTATGTCTTTTCTGTGAATATATATATATATATATATATTTTTTCTTTTTTTTTTTTGAGGCAGAGTCTCGCTCTTTTGCCCAGGCTGGAGTGCAGTGGCATGATCTCAGCTCACTGCAACCTCCACCTCTCGGGTTCATGCCATTCTCCTGCCTCAGCCTCCCAAGTAACTGGGACTACAGGCACCCACCACCACTCCCAGCTAGTTTTTTGTAAATTTAGTTGAGATGGGGTTTCACCATGTTAACCATGATAGTCTCGATCTCCTGACCTCATGATCCACCCACCTTGGCCTCCCAAAGTGCTAGGATTGCAGGTGTGAGCCACTGTACCCGGCTCTGTGAATGTATTTCTTTGTTTATTTCTGATGGTTTTAAGATATAGATTTGACTCTATATCTTAAAATGGGGTCTGAGCCTTCTGCTGACTCAAGCCAGACTCCCAGGTCTTCTAGGGAGCATGCCATGTAGCCAGCCTCAGGTCCCGGGGGGCAGCAGGAGCTCTTCCTTGGACCTGCTCATGCTGTAGAGAGAGTGGACAGTTCCCTCCTGAAATGCAGGAATGGAGGAAACAATCATAGAATGCCGTCTGCTGCCATCTTCAATGAAGCACTGACTGTGTGCCTGCTGTATGCCAGCATGCTTCCCTTTGTGTATCCTGAATTCAGCAGTATTCAGCACACATTTATTGAGTGCCTGCTACCATGTACCAGATATTCCTCTAGACTCTGGGCACATAGCAGTGAACAAGACAGATAAGATTTCTGCCTTGTGGAACTTAAAATGCATTAGGAAAAGCACAATAATCAGATAAGCATATATATATTGGATATATGTGTGTGTGTTTATCGCTTCCTAATCACTTCCTGGCCCCTTGCACTGTCATTGCTTTATTTTTCTTCAGAAAGAGAGAGAGAGAGGAGTGTGTGTGTATGTGTGTGTGTGTGTGTGTGAAGTCCTGTGATGAAAAATCAGTACAAGGGGCCAGGGAATGATTGGGAAGAGTAGGCTGGGAGCTATTTTAGTTAGGGTAAGAAGGTAATAGTTGATGAGGGGAGGAGGGAGGTTATATTCCATGAAGATATTTTCAGGAGGGTTCTGATTCATAGAGACAGTTGAGGGAGGCAGAGGAAAGCCAAGGTTTAGCTTGTTTAAGAAACAGCAAGGAGACCAGTGTACCTGTAGCACAGAAAATGAGGTTTGAGAAGAACTAAAGGCCAGATCTTACAGGAGCTTGTGGGCCCTGGCAAGGACTATGGTTTATTCTAAAATGCTTATGAAGCCATTGGAGGTTGGAGAGCAGAGAAGTGATATGATTCAAATTACGCTTAGGGCTTTGTAAAATGAACAATTATCCCCTTCTATGGATACTTAGAGAGACTGGGTCACCTGCCCAGGGCCAGTGAACGATGGTTATGGGACCTGAACCTAGATGTGTCTGGCCTCAGGGCTTGTATGCCTCCCACGGGGCCACCAGGCCTCCCATCAGCAGGGCTCTCGGCCTGGAGATGGAAATGGAGCCACTCTGAGGGACTTCCACACCCCTAAAGCTCCTCCCAGGCACTGGGGAAGACTTGAGGGGCTTGTGTTCAGTGCCTCACGACTCACCAAAAGAGGAGGTCCCCACCACCACTGCTGTATTCAGCACTCCACCTGCAAATAGTGTTGCCATGTGCTTCCACTGTCCCAAGGGATGTTAACGAAAGGGGATTTCCAGATAGTACTTACAGCCCCTCTTCATTTTGGTCTTTGAGGCTGACCAGGGGCAGTAGCCACAAAGCTGTGCAGAGTGAGACAGGGTTATAAAGTGGAGAGGGACTGAGTTCTGGGGTCAGATAACCCCAGGCTCCAACTCGGCTCTCCACTTGTTTATGATATGATCTTAGAAAAGTTGCTTCTACAAGCTTTGCTTTGCCAATCTACAAAATAGAGATGAAAGTGCTGACTTCATAGGGTTATTGTGAGGAATAAGATTTAAATTAGATAATTGCAGAGCTTCTGGAACAATAAATAATATGTGGTAGATATAGGGTAGGTAGTAGCTATTATATTTAGCATTAGTACTCCTATAGTATTTGTATAGCCCTTAATACTTCTTCCACCATTATCTCAGCTGATGCATATAACAACTTTATGAGTTTAGTATTGTAATCCCTTTTTACATGAAGGAAGTAAGATAAAGAAAGGTTAAGGGCTATACCTAAAGTTGCACAGCAAGAGAGTGGCATAAAAGGGTCTTGAATTTGGGAATACTGGCTCTAAGACCTGGTCAAAGTCAGAAAGAAGGTCCTTGGCAGGGCTGGGTCCAAAGTTAGTGTTCTGCAGTCAGTCCCTTTCTTGGGTGCATGAAACAGGCTGAAGCCACCACTGGATTGTTACAAATGATTCACCACAGAGTCTGAAAGTGAGGTGACAGCAGTCCTGAAATGATCAGGAGACAGGCTCCAGCCTACTCAAGTGTGAATCATGTCACTCAGCAGACCTGGTTGAGACCAAAAAGGGCAAGTATGTCTATCTTCATTCTGGGTTAGAAATAGGTAAAGTCACAAAATGCTGTGCACTTGGGGAACAGAGAGCATCCTCCTTTGTCTTCGGTGGAGCTCCATCTTTGCTAACCAGTCATCACCCAGGTCCCCGCACAGCTAGAGGACCATGATCCTCTGACCATGGTCAGCATTAACCTGGGGGCCTGGGAGAAATACAGATCCTCAGGCCCCACCTGACCTGCTGACTGAATCTCTAGGGATGGGCCTCAGCAATGCTTAGCTCTCCAGAAAGTTGGAGAACCGTGGCTTTAGAAGACAATGGCCAAAAATGCTGACTTTTTTTTCTTTGGACTAGCCAAATGAGTGTCTCTAGCTACTCACTGTTTAAGCAGATGTAGGCAGTATCAAGTAGAGATAGAGCACAGGCTTTGGAACCTGAACTCTAATTCCTTCTTTGAACTTTGCTAGCTGACCTTGGCAAGACCCATTACCTCTCCACATCTCAGTTTCCTCACCTGTAGAATGAGGATTACATTGCCTTCCTCGCATGGCCATTTTGAAGATTTGAGAGGCTGGATGTAGCATACCTAGCTCAGTACCAGAAACATGTCAGTCCTCTTCAGTGAGAACTGTGATATGATGCACACAACTGCCAGACCTTGGGTTTGTATAGACAGCGTTCCCTCTGGATGCTCTGTGCCAGGTGGACCCCTTGCACATGTGGCTTGCGCACTGACCCGTTGCCTAGAAACCATGTCCCGCTGGTCTCATGCACACAGCTGCACCAAACAGCCACTTTGTGTGTTTCTCTACTATCCCCCTTCATCAATGCATGACTCATTGCTTCATTCATGTCTCCATGTGTGCGTAGAAACCTAGGCAAGCAGCCATTCCTAGGGACATTGCAGGACAACCTCATTGAGATGGACATTCTCGGCGCCTCCCGCCACGATGGGGCTTACGGTGACGGGTAGGTGACATCCCCATTCTCCTCTCTGTGTGTGCTCTCCTTGTGGCTCCTGCACTTGCATGCAGACCCTGAGACCTTTCCCTGGGATCTCCTGGGGGAGGTGATCCATGTGGCATGCTCATCCCCAAGTCCATGTTCAACTTGCAACAGTTTATCCTTGGAATACCCTATCCCCCAGCATATTAACAGCAGTGTCTTGTTAATATGCAGCTCTTAGCATCTCATTGGCTGCCTTTGCCATTCCAAAACCATCTCACATAGCATTTTTAATGCAGCACAGTCCCTGTGTTGTTTGAACTCTGGCCCTGAGCGTGTATTCTGTAGCCTGAGGCACCTTGTACCCCAACAGGGGTGGGTTTGCCCTAAGACTTCTGGGGGATACAGTGCAACCAGTGCACTCCATTTCCCAAGCTGTGTGCAAGTCCTCCCGTGGCCATGGTTAAAGCCAAGCTGTGGAGGAGCTCCTGACACCTAGTTTGGTCACAACCATGTGCTTTGACCATACCCCGCTGACCTCATGACTAGGCTGTAGGGTGCAGTTGCCTCTCTGTCTCCCAACACAGCTTTCACCGTGGGCTTGGGAGGCAGCAGTCTGGCTTCTGGGCAGAGTGCTTTCAAGGCATTTGCTACCATTGGCCATGTGACAGCCACTAGGGGACTCCTGGCCATGGCATAACTTAATAATGGTTTCTTGGCTTCACCACCAATAAAACCCCCTTTAAAAAGAAGGGTATTTCAATCCTCAGTTGAGATACACTGGCAACAGAAGCATTGGAGGGAGAAGAACAGTTTTAAGTCTCATTATCTCCAGGGGACAGAACAGGATTTTAGATACTTTCCAAGTTACTGTAATAATTTTAAAGAATAGGAAGTTTATTCCTCAAGAAACAGCATCCCAGCCCCATCCGTTCCCAGGAAAAGGATCTCAGTGCCAGCCTTCTGTTGAGTTGGTAACACCTTCTACCTTGCCTTGGGTGGGTTTTCCCATGGGTAGGGCTGTCCCATCCCTGTTCAGTGGAAACATGTCTCTGTGTGCCCTGTTCCGTGGTCTAGTCCGTGGCTCTCCTTGTTCCTGTCCTTTCCCAGGTCTCTGTGGTGACTCTCTATCCAGGCTCCTCTGCATGCTTCTTCTACTGCCGCCTCTGGCCTCCAGGTTTGTCTGGGTGCCTGGTCTGTGGGCAGCTCCTGACACCCTCTTGCTGCTCTCCATCTGCAGGCACTTCCTCTTCAAGCCTGGAGGCACCTCCCCGCTCTTCTGCACCACATCACCGGGGTACCCACTGACGTCCAGCACAGTGTATTCCCCTCCGCCCCGACCCCTGCCCCGCAGCACCTTCGCCCGGCCGGCCTTTAACCTCAAGAAGCCCTCCAAGTACTGTAACTGGAAGTGCGCAGCCCTGAGCGCCATCGTCATCTCAGCCACGCTGGTCATCCTGCTGGCATACTTTGTGGGTAAGCACCTCTTCACCCCAGCTTCCCTTGCTCCCCTTTGGCCCAGAGGGCAGCAACCAAGACACGTGTGGGCACTGAAGCCTCCTTACTAGCATGGCAGGCAAAGCAAGCAGTGTGAGGCAAGCAGCCCTGGAGTTCTGGACAGTTTGCACCCCTGATACTGCAGGGTCAACTCTGCGGGGCCCTCCTCTCCTTCCTCTCCATCCTTCTGCACTTATATCAGGAAGGAAACTGGTCATCTGTCCTTTTGTGTGTTGGGTGCCTGGTATTAAGGCGTGAGCACTCAGTAAGACTAGCCTTTGAGATGGGGATCTATGGCATAAGTGTCATGGATTGAGTACATACAACTAAATGACAAGTTAGAGAGGCTGAACAGCAGGTAGCCTCTCCTGTTGGGACTGTGTGGCTGCAGTGAGGAGCAGAAAGGAGATGGAGCACCGTGGGGTTGGAGGGAAACTGGCAGGAAAGCACGTATGAAGGTAGATGTCCTGAGTTAAACCATGGTCAGGAACCCAGGGAAATTCTGACTGAGAAGCAGAAGGTCCCAGCCAGCATAAAGAGCAGAGAATGCTGGCTGACATGGACAGTGCTCACCTGACCCCGGGTGTGAACACAGACATAAGGAGCTCCTCCCGACTTCTGCCTTGATACAGCAGATGACTCCCACCATGCAGTCTTCTGATGAATTTGTAACACAGTCTGGCTTCCTACTTCTGACCCCTTGCTTTGGTCTTTTCCCAGGAAAGATATTAATCCAAAGAGATCTGTGGGTGTTGTGCAGGGTCTGCTGCCTCTGTATAAATCAGCCTCTTAGTAAAGGCATTGGAAGGGAGGTTGGCTTAACCCTTGAGGTCCTTTCCAACCTTCTAAGTCTGTAATTCAAAGTCTTAAGGTAGGTTGGGCCAGCTTGAGAAGGCCTTGAACCTATGCTAAGGAATTCTAAGATAATTCTGCAAGCAAAGGGGACTTTTTCAGCACAAGCCCAGTAAATAGAAATATAACTAATTGGCAGAGGACAAAAAAAGAGTGCTGCCCACTGTGAAAAAGCACTTGGTAACAAGCAAAGTCATTGTGGCTGAACAGGGGCTGTCTTGAGACATAGTAACAGCTGTCACTAAGAATGCTTAATACAACATGGGCCATCACATGTTCAAGAGATAGAGAAGTGGTTCAAGCATGGATGGGGTTTGAGTGGCATAAGCTGTAAGGTCAATTCCACTAAAGATTCTTGAATTTTATAAAAGTAAGTAATCAAGAAGATGATAGTCCTGCAAAGGGAGGTCCCCTTCAATATCTCAAGCTACAATAAGCCTCCTCTAGCATGCCAGGTCTCTTTTCCCCTGGTGAATATTGGCTGAGAGAATTTCATGACTCCAAGGCCAGGGTGGCATGCATATGTCATCTCTTCTTCTGTCTGATTGTTTAGTTGCTGCTGCCTAGAATGCTGTGTTGAGAAAGATTCTGGGGCTATATTTAGGCTCAATGTAAGAGACTATCTGTGATTGATTAGTGATGTCTGTTATCATCACAGAAATGGAGAATATTGATAACATGTCAAGTATTTGCCATCCCTGCTATGGGTCATTGTATAAATGAAACAGCCAGACTGGGAGAGGTCAAGGTCTACCTAGGCTCTGTGAGGTGCATCATCGATATGGAGTGGGTTACCAGTGAGGGTTGTATGGTTCCAGTACCATTACTTGGTATGAAGGTTTCTTCTGGCACCACCAATACTATGTCACCACCAACCACTGGCACAGCTCTTGATTTTGGCTGACATTATTATTTTTCCTAAGTGAGTATACTTCTGGACAGGCAGGCGTAAGTCATAATTTGAGTAGTTTGCTGCATATACACATCAATTTGTTTTGTGTTGAAGTCTTAAGGTTTATATCATATAGCCTAATTCAGTGAGAAAGTGTAAATGTTTACATGATTAATCAAAATCTCTCCTGTTTTCCATCTCATGGGCTTCTTTCTCTCCCAGTTAATAAGAATACATGATCAGTCTTCAGCTATCTAAAGATAGGGGCAACTGTGGGAAGTAGTGAGCTCCCTGTCACAGGTAGGATACAGATAGAGCTCAGGGACCACTTAGAATAAGATTCAAGCACTGCCTGAGGGTTTTCACTGGGTAACCTTTAATTTTCCTTCCAACATTGACAGCTTTCAAATCCACAATTTTGTGAATTTTATTTTTCATTCAGCAAACCATATGGAGTACCTGCTTTGAGCCAGGCTCTATGCTAAGTGCTAGGGTTAACTATATGGTCACTACCCTTGAGGTATTCGTAGCTTGAAAGAAGAGATAGCCATGTTAGCAGGCAAATCTGAAACAGTGATTGATTTATACAGAGCTCAGGGGCTGTGAGAATACCCAACCCCAGCCAAAAGGAGTAGGGAAGGCTTCCTGGGAAAGGTGATGTTTGAGCTGCATTTTAAAGTAGGCATTAGCCAGAAGTAGACATACAGGAAGGGCATTTCAAAGCAAGGGAGCTTTCAAAGACTTGAAAGAGGATGATGTGGTAGCAAAGACATTTTCTGTGTTTGAAGCATTTGAGGAGTGTGGGGTATACTGTTAGAGCTAATACAGAAGTGTGTCGTCAGATTATGAAGATCAGCTTGGAGGACAAGTTGAGGACCTTATTGGGTGGGCAACTGGGGAGCCACTGAACAGTTTTAAGCAGTGGTAGGACACAGATTTTTATTTTAGAAAGGTAAGGGTAGAGGAAGGAGAGAGTAGAAGCATACCTGTTGGGAAACTATTGCAGTCAACTAGTCAGGAAAAGCTGATGGCTTCAGTTACAACACTGACAATGTAGGTGGAGAAGAGGAGGTGGATCAAAGGTCAATTTTGAAGATTTTGTGTCTCAAGCCAGGAATGGTCAGTTCACTGGTAGTGTGTCCTTGCCAAGAATAACACAGATATTTCTATACAGATAATATTCTGTCTGTGTAGAAATGCTTGGACTGGACGCTAGGGCTCATATGCAATGATCAAGCCAGAGAGGCAAGCCTGTGGCATTCCCTTTGTTTCCTGGAGAATCAGCGAGATGTTGGGGAAGAGCTTAGACCCACCGCAACAGCCCTGGATTCCAGGCCCTGCTCCACCACACAGCAGCTGCTCACCCTTGGGAAAGTCATTTCTCTTTCTGAGTTCTGATTTGCTCATCTAGAAAATAGGCACAACCCATACCTCAGAAGGATGCTTGTGAGCTTGCTGTAAGCTAACGCAGGTGAACACGTTGCAGGTGTGTGGACCATCCCAACCTTGCTTCACAAGCTAGGGGGTAGCAGCCTTATTGTTTGGTCTCCTGCAGCTGCTGAGGACAAGGCATGAGCATCTTGTTGCTTGGCCATAATTACAGGCTGTGATGACTAACTTGGAAGGAACCATCAATTATTAAAAATCAAATTAATTGTCTCAGCCAAGCACAAATATCCCTAACAAAGACCCTTTTCCAGCAGACCAGCCGATCTAATCAACAGGCAAAAGCACAGATATTTAATTAGATTTTTGATGAAAAATTGTGTTTAATTTCAAGTATAATCAATTATTAATTACTGTAATGAGTGAGTCTGACTGGGTTTACTAATTAACTCATTTAAAAATTATGAATAACCTTTTCATTTGTAATTATTTTCTACATTCTATCAGGTTCCAGATAAGAATTGCATCACCTCACCAGCAGAGTAGGAGGCAGAAACAGAGGGTGGAAAAGAATTTTTCTTTTGCTATTATCTGCCTAAGGCTGTCATGTCTGGTTGGTAATCCTGACAGATTCATTTGACGTTTAGTTTGCTTGTTTGTTTGTTCGTTTGTTTGTTTAGAGATGGGAGTCTCACTCTGTCATCCAAGCTGGAGTGCACTGGCACAATCATAGCTCACTGCAGCCTTGAACTCCTGGGCTCAAGTGATCCTTCCACCTCAGCTTCCCGAGCAGCCAGAACTACAGTTGTTTCCCACTGCACCTGGCTACTTTTTCATTTTTTATGTGTGTGTAGAGATGGGGTCTAATATGTTGCCCAAGCTGTCATAAACTCCTGGCCTCAAATGATCTTCCTGCCTCAGCCTCCCAACAGGCTGGGATTACAGGTGTGAGCCACCACGCCCAGCTGATGTTCCATTTCTTAGTTGAAAAGTATCTTGAGAAACTTGTGCCACCAGTGACCTTTCAATTACAGATACATTTACGGGTATTTTCATGAGAAGGTAGAGACACTGGAGTCAGCACTTACCACCCACAGAGACTGTGGAAGCCAGAGCCTTGCCCATGGGCCATCTCCTCCTCTCCTGGGAGTGCTACTTGGCTGCTCTGGCCTGAGCTGGGAATCCAGGGAGGACCCTCACACAACTGTGGGATCTCCTCAGAGAGAAAATGTGTATTTTTGTCTCCAAAGGCGCCAATTCAGAAAGACAGCCACTGAGGATGAGTTTACAGTGCTTTATTCACCAATTCTTCCTAGTACAGTTTTCAGGTCCTTGTTAGTCTCCATTTGAATACCGGGTCTTTTCTTTTCTGGAGAAATCTGTTGGCAGAACGCAATGGGGGCTGTTGTGTAGGTTACATGAGATGATGTCGAAAGGGGCAACCCTAGTTTTAGGGCAGACCCTGAAGCTTGTACTGCCAATTGTTAAAATAAACAATTAAATGCTTTATTGTATAGCATTTAATTGTTTTTAAAACATGTTTACCAAAAAGGTGTGATATAGAGTAGTAAAAATCACATTTGGCCGTTGTTTATCATTCATAAAGAGCAGTTAGTTTGGATTGTATGCTGTCCACGTGCCCCTTTCTGTTCTGAGCATGTTGCTCGTGTTTCCTCGCTGAAATCTCCTAACAATCATGAGTTATTATTCGCAATTGACAGATGAGGACACTGAGCCCCCATGAGTTTCAGTAGCTTGCCCACTGTTGCATGGTAAATGTTAGGGCTATGATCCACCCAACCGCAGGCACTCAAGCTCTTGAGCTAATGCTTTCTAATTTTTTTCTCTT